AGGATAAGATTAATCTTACAAAGCTCTAAAGCACAGAATTAAGTCAAGTAGACTACAGATCTTCCTCTAATATCCAAGACGGATATGTTTCAGTAATGATAGCTACGTAGTTATCCAAGTAACTGGCAGGATCTCGCTATGATACAATAAAGCTCTTGGCAGTACAGATGAACATACAAGTTCTTTTTTCCCAATGACATCTTCCCAATAATAATTAATAGTTTTTTACTAATATCTTGGAAAGTCAACAAGATTCTTCCTTTTGCTCTTTATTCTGTCCAGAGCTGCTCTTTTTCACCCATTGACAGAGTAGGTGATATAGTCTGACATAGAAATCACTGAAATATCACAAGTTGAATACATTATGACAAATGAGTTTAAAAAATACATAGTTTTTTTCTCAAGTGCCATTTCCTTAATCTTTTAATAAACATTAAATGCTTAACTTTATATCAAATAGAGATTTCGGTTTATCAGGTTGTTCAAAATCTTCCAAAAATTTAGGATTGATGCAACAAAGTAATGAAAGAGAGGATATGGTGTCAAGACATATTTTTACTAGGAGTTTTGTTGCAGTTGTTTTTGCACAATTTAGTAGACCTTCTTCCCTTCCCTTCTTTTCCACTTCAGATAATAATTTGGGGACATTAATACCCAGTTGTATTTTTATCTTAGCTTTTGAAATAATAGGAAACTTTACAGGAAGGGACCTCAAAAGAGTATTTAGTCCTTGATTTATTATTTGCTTATAACCGCGGGATCACTTCAGCTTTTTGGAAAAGCTTGCCTTATTGCTATTGGCAGATGAGGGAACTAAGAAAATACCTTAGGTAAAACCAATGATTTTTTTTAAACTCTTAAATTACACTGAGTTGTATTAACTTGTCTTTAATTATAGCAGAAATTATTAAAAAGCACTGCTGTTCTCCTTGGATTTGTATCTTGCAAGAGGGAAGGTATCAGTAGCAGTTGGGAATTTGGAATTAATTCTTGTGTCTCTCAGACCACAGTGGTCTTTGGCATGTAGGTTGAGTAGCACTAATGGCTGTCTCAACTACAGTCAACTCTTACCAGATAAAGGAAAAGCTTTATAACACAATGGATGTAAAAATATATGCTATAGGTCTGTCTAGTGTATATATATAAGATATATTTGTGAGTAAGGCTAGAAGAGCATAGTACTTTCATGTATGAAAAATATGTAGATTTTTTTTAAAAAGCAGAGTTACGGTATGAATTCCTGCAATTGCCGTGAGTTCTGCATTACATAGTACGGCATTTAGATATTGACAGTTTTTTATTATTTTAAGGTACATCTTGGGCAACCTAACAAATGATAGCTATTTGTCTACCTGTCTTTGAAAACCTCCAGCCATTCCATAGGTTCTTTATGCAATTTTTTAACTGCATGTAACAGTTAAAATAGAGATTAGGAACAAAAAAAAAGCAGTTTTCTTGCTGCAATTAAAACCTATTGCCTCTTGCTCTGTACTTAGTGAATATGAAGAGCAATTATTGTATTTTTATTTTGGTTACTTGTATGTATTTGGAAATTCTCCCTCATCTTAATAAGTCCAATTCTCCCATTGTTTTTCTTATATGACATCTCATTAATGTCTCATCATTTTTTCTCCTCTTCTCTGAGTTCATTCTAGTTATTCAGTGTATTTTTTTAAAATGCGGGTCCCAAATACAGACACCATAATTAAGCTTAATTTTCATTAGTGCTCAGTAGAACAAGAGGACTCATATATTTTTTTCTGTGAAGTTACTGATTATACATTCAAGTGTGATAGTTTGCTGAATTGCTTTTACAATAGCATGGCATTTTGGCCATTTCTGGTTTGAGAATCACTAATTCTTTACAGACACATGCGAATATACAAGCATACTTTCTACGACTGATGTTGTCTTTTAGGTGCTTGTAGAGAGATTTATTATTTATGCTCAGATAGTTCTGTGGAAAATGAAAGCCGTCTGGCTAATAGGCTTGGCCTTTTATCCTTTGTAAAGAGAGGTACTACACTGTGTTTTCCATTCCCTGGAACTTTACCCATCCTCTGTGACTTCTGATGAGAAATTAATACTAACAACTGGTGGCTGCAGCTAATTTCTGAAATACTCCAGTGTTTTTCATCAGGCCCACTTAGTTTGAAAGCATCTACCACATTCAAGAAATATCTAAAATAATAGGAAGTTTTCTCAATAGTATTCTTCCTCTGTTTTTCAGTGATTAAGGAGACCAATTTTAATGTCATTACTTTTTTATATAGTTAACATATTGAAGGAAAAGGAGAATGTATATACCTATACCTACACTCATTTTAGTAGAAATTTCAAATCAAAATAGCTAGCTAATTGTAAGGAGGTATTTGCATTTGTTCCCCATATGGAAAAGCTTCCCTGTCATGCATACTTTTGAAATAGAGCATGCTAAATCATTGCCTGTCTTTGCATGCTGACAAGTTAGTGCAATTTCCTAGTGATCAGATATCACTCTTGCATATTGGTTTAGCAGTTCTTGATTTACATTCTAATGCCTCATCTGTTATAACCCACGCATCAGAACTGACCTCCAGGCTTATGGCAACATTTGGAAATTTGCAATTTTTTTTTTGTCCCTCGAAGAGTAATTCAGCTGCTTTGCCACAGATGCAGAAACTTCCTTTAAAAAAAAAAAAATCAAGGGGTCCACTGTAAATGTTTATCCTGATGCCAACTGGGATTTCAATAGTATCCGTTTGTACCACAGAAGGTTATTAAAGCTTTATAAATGAGTCATTTAAAGCTTGACTGACCTCTCTTCAGAATATTTCTCTTCACATTCTTTATAATTACATTCTTTCTGTATAAAGCTTGTCATCATTAACCAACTATATAACTTCCAATTAGGAAGCAAATACTGTTCCCCCATTCTTTTTCAAGATACATTTTTATTAAGATCTGTTCACTGAAAGGGAAGGTTTTCTTTGTGTGGTAGTGAAAAGCCTATGGAGTGCATAAAATTTGGTTTAAATTTGTTGGAATTCTAATAAGCAGAACCTGATCTGCAAGCTGAAGGTCTGCAGAGAGATTTATCTTGATAAAATAAATTCATAGGAGGCCCTTAAGCTCTCTCCTGAACAAGTGCAATTCGGATGGAACAGAAGAAATTTAATTAAATTATCAGCTCATCTCAAAGCAAGGGCTTTTGCTTTTTAATTTTTCTTTCTTGATCTGATCAAGAAAATTAATGAATAAGAATGCAGTGGAACTACCTAGACAATGGATGTAACAATGCCTCTTGGTTAAGCTATTCCTGTATCTTAACCAGAAACTGGAAGTTAATCTTTTGGGCTACAGATGTAGAGAGAATTGCCTGTATTGGAATTTTGTGTTGCACACTGAATTATGTTGGCACAGTGTTACAGAAAAATGCCAATTTCCCATCTTAGTGGGAATATACATGCATCTTTCTGTTGGAGATATTAAGCTGCATTTTTTAGTCATGCAGGGTTGCCTCTGATAACCATTGATATAGACAAACTTGGGTCATATCAGGCAAATTTCAGACATGGGTGGAAGGTTTTCACTTGCCTGTTCATTCTGAGGTGTGAATTTTATCCCCCGTCATAAAGGCACGATCCCATACAACTTCTCCTGTGCAGTAACAGCCATCAGCAGATTAACAACTTAGTTGTGACTGTAATGTAGTCAGCAGCCAATGTACACTATTCCACTCTGTCAAGGCAAAGTCACTTCTATTCTTCTGTCTACTCCCGTGAAGTCCAAGAGTTTTCCTGTCTATCTTAGACCTAGTTCTTTGATGGATTGTTTATCTGCTGTATCGAATCACCTTTCAGAACATTTGGTGAACAGCATCTAACACCTGCAGGATAGATGGCATCAGTGATCACTCCTGTAAGTCTGCCCTCTAATGGTAACTGATTTTTCTGTCCTTCATGAGTAATTTTTACTGGTATTGTTGTTCATGGTTTTCTCTTATCAATTGAGCTTTGCATGTGTCAGCCTCAAAATTATACTGGGTGGTTTTCAAGGTAAATGGCACGGTAAACCTAGGAAATTTTATAGGACCATACTAGCTGAAATATTGCATCCTCAGCCTAACTGCTTCTCAAAGTTGAGCATCATTGCTTTTGAATCAGATTCCAGGATTATATTCTAGGAAGAAATGTGGTGAGGCAGGGAGATCTCTGTTATGTTAGTGTTAAATAATACCTAGTGGAAGAGGACTGGGGTTTTAATTTCTTAGCACAAAAAGGTGAGATGAAAATGATAAGTTGAAGTAGAAAACTTAAAAGAAAATAAATATCTTTTAGACAGCAGAATTGCTGGTTGTTAAGGATCCTGTATTGCTCTTGTAAGAGGTTTGCAGAGTGGCTGCAGTTTTATGTTGCTGTTGCCAAGATGCAAGTACCAGCTTGATGAGTATGAAATGGTGCATTCCTTCTCTATCTCTTTTGCAGAGAGGAGTCAGGATAGCACTGCAGCAGTGCTGTCTGACTCCAGTTCCACGCAGGATATGTTTACTGAGCCTGCCAGTTCTCAAGACAGCCTGAGGAAGACTTACACAGAGAAAAGGATTTCTACTACTTGTGCTGATACACTCATGCCCAGCAAAGAGACCCTGGGATCTGCAGAAGAAAAGAGTATGACCAATTTAATAGATGATGTCAGCTGGTATATTCTCATTAAAATGTTTCTTCTGGCATGCAGAAGCACTGAAATGCTGCACTGTGACTGCGAATTTTAATTAGGTGTTATTGCTGCATGTGTGTGTGTAGCTTAAAATTGGAACCGTGCTTTGCTTATGTGGCCATCATCCCAAAAAATAATGATAAACTACTGTCTGTGGTGGCCCTTTGACTGGCTTGCCTTCTTTTAAGTTATTATTAACTCTTCAATTTTCCAAATCTCTAAATAATTTAAGGAATAGTTATTTGAAGATAATCTTAAACAAAACTTTTTTATTTTCCCCAGGTATAGATGCCCTTTTTGTTCTGGCCCAGTAGCAGCTTGATATTCAGTACATAGAAGAATACAAGTAGTGGAATTAGATGTTTTGTTCTATTGGATATTTTATTTCAGGGGAGAAGTGGAATTGCTCTCTACTAAACTTTTCCATATATAATAGTACTAAGTGTTCTGTATTCCACTGGAAAAATTGTTTCAAAATCCATTAGCGGGAATTTCCCTTTGTCTGACGTTTGTACAGTTGCCTGTGGCAGTAGATAGAGAGGCTGGGTTTCAGTATGGAAAGACAAACAAGACCAGTGTATAAGTTTGCCCACCTTTCCGGATTGTGGAACCAGAATGTTTTGCATTATTGATATTTATTAGAAAAAATGTTGTATTTTTCCATAAAGCTATCTGTAGAGTCAAATTATAATGGATACATAGATTGTCCAAGCAAATTTTGAAAAATTTTTGTTCTGGAAAACGTGTGGCTCAAAGTTCAGCCTTATCGGAGAAAAAGTTAAGGAGCAGCTTCATGCGTGAGGATGAAGTATACTTGAGTATATTTCTAGCCTGCTAGGAGATAAAATCTAATGTAAGAGGCTTTTTGTCCTAGCAAAGACAAAGACACAGTAAACTTCCATGACTAAAAATCAAAGTTTAAAAAAATAATCTGCATGTAGCATGCATGTTTTCAGCAATAATGACTACCTAACAGGAAACGTGGAAGCTCCCACTGTGCAGATGTTTTCTGAAATAAGACTTGGTATCCTTCAAGAAAAGATGGGTTAATCGAACTATGAGCAACCAAGTTAATCACAAAAATACTTGGATGGAACTGTAGGTCCCACATTATCCAGAAGGCCAGGTTACCTCCTGCTAATCATTCTGTCTGAGCCTAAATTGTATTCTGGAATTATGGTGTTCTAGATAGATTGTTAAGACTAATACATTTCACTTGGCAGGATGGTTTTAATTTTCTGTTCTTTCCTTCTTTCTTTGCAATAGAATTTTACTGAGTTTACGCTTTTATTTTGTCATATCCCCTTCTTCCCCCATCTTCAACAGTATTTAAAACCTTGCTTAGTGTAAGGTGTGCTGAATTCTTACTCAGGGAAAAACCCAAATGGAGAGATCAGTGTGTGGCTCTGTTTATTAATGAGCTGAAGATTACTTACTCATTAAACATCCGGAACAGTCATAATTTTTTCAGGAACCACTCAATAATTCTGTCTGTGCTTTAAGGAAGAAAAGGGTTACCATTTGTTGTATTTAATTTTTGTCATTTTGTATATTTCATTTGCCATTTCGTAATTTTCATTGTCACTTTTGTCTTCTCTTAATGTTCCAGTTGCAGGAAAGGCAGAAGAGCTGCTGGAGAGCTCAGAATCCTACCATCCTGCTGAGCCGACTGGCCAAAAAATTCTGGTGGATCCTCAGTCTGCTTCTGGCAATCCCATCAAAGCTGCAATCCCCCCACCCTTGCAGTGGGACTGCAAAAAGAAAGCTGAACCTTGTGGAGATGCATCTGAATTTCCTCATGGTCTTCCAGCAGACCTCGAGGAACAGCGGAAGTTCCTGACAGAGCAGTGTATTGCCTCCTTCTGTTTGTGTCTCAGCCGCTTTCCCCAGCACTACAAGAGCCTCTACAGGTTGGCATACCTGTACACATACAGCAAAACACACAAGGTGAGCAGACCACTGATACAGCAGCTGACTAGCTGTGTCTGTTGCTGAGTAAACAAACTATATAGTCATTTGTATTAATTCCAAAGTCTCAGTGTTAAAATACAGCAGATAAGTTAATTTAATGCAGTTTGGATTGGAACTGTGCTTTGGGAAGTCTTCAGCTCCTGGATTGTCTGATTCATGTGTGTGAGGCCAGTTGAATTGAAAATTTCTTTTTTTATTACTGAACTAAACAATTTTTTGTCATTCAGTAGAGAATTACCTTTTAGATATGTCACATAAATTAGGACGTCCTTGTAAAAATGACAGCAATTACTTATTTTACTGATTAAGTGTATTGAAAAGTGACTTGGACGCAGATATTCATCAGTATTGGTGTAAACACATTGGCATGACACGGATAGATTTTCTGAGTATCTTGGGTCTTTGTAGAATGAAAGTTTTCCTACTGTCAGAGCATAAAGGTCATCTTGAGTAAAACAAAATTATTTCCTGTTTAGAAATCAGTGAGTGAAAGTCAGTCAGATCCTACTGCTCACGAGCCTGTGACTTTGGATTAAACAGGAATAACAATGTCTTGGTGACTGTAATAGTATCAGTTCCTATTTGAGGTGAGGGCAAAATAACTTGCTTCCTCCAGCATGACCCTTGCATGTTCTTCATAATAAAATTAATTTCAAAAGCCTTCTGCTATGGATTATCATTGGTTTGGTTTTAAAATTATGTCATTCTTTATCTTACTTCTGCATACTTCTGTTGTTATATTTTGTCTTTCTGAAGTATCAGTTAGTGAAGAGTATGAATAGTAGGTTGAAATTATCAGAGTTATTTCACTAATTGTCATAATTAAGGTTTGAACTCCAGGTTTGGTATCTGGAAGTCCTGTGTTATGTCATATGCTGCACTGCATGGCTTCCTGAATTCTCTTCCCCACCGGTACTGAAGCTTGTGTGAATAATATGGAAGGGTAGGTAATGGAAACAAATCATACCCCTTGCCTCGTAGTAGAAAGCATATCAACAGTACTGCTGTGAATTGAGCAGTAGCATGTCTTACCAGTCTACTGAAAGGTGATGAATATTCCATTTGGCTGTAGAGTGATTATCCAGAAAAATATTACCATTTTTTAAAAGATAGCTTGTTTTGAAAACATTCTTATGCTGTTTGTATGTGACAGTTGTTAATTTTTCCACAGAGCTAATCATTAATAGGAGCCATAGATTCCTGCAATCTGTCATTACTGTTGCTGACAAATGATTTTGTATCAACATTCAAAAAAAGGTTGCCTGTTTTCAATTTATTGGTTCAAATAGCATGTCCTTGCCTGAGGAACTACTTACAAAATATTTTCTTCTTTTTTTTTTTCCTGGTGAAGTTTCTCTTTTCCTTTTGTATCTCCCTCCCTGTATTAATATCAACTTAGTGACTTGTAATGTTTTATCTGTATGAAGTACACATTGTTGTCTAAATCTGTCTCTTCTTGGAACTCAGAAAAACTGAATCCTGCCTGTTTGAGCCTAGTAGTTACCAGGTTGGCTTCAGCTAGTGTTGTTGGGGTTTACTGTCCTTTTTTATTACTTCTCTGCATAACAAACAACTACTGAACACTGCAAAAAAAAAAATCTTCCTAGTGATATATGTATACAACATACTTTCATGAGGTTGTAATTTTCTTTCTTTGATGATTCATTCACATTCTTTTGTAGAGCAGTGTCAAATGTCTGTGTTTTAATGGTACACTAATATATCTTTAGTGGGAGTTACACTCCTGAACAAACTTAAAAATACAAAATGCATCTATGCATTTTCAGCAATAATTGCAGTAAGAAATACGCTTAAATATATTGTTGATAAACCTGATTTAAAAAGTGAGATAAATTACATCAGGTTGAGTTTCTGTGGGGACAGAGTGGATTACTGGTAAATTTTAGAAAGCTGAAATTAATTTTTAAATGCATATAACCATCTTGGAAGATTCAGCATTTAAGTACCAGTGCCAGGAATTTGTATGAAGAATTTAGACTGATGGCCAAAATTCATGGTTGGCTGGGAAAGGGGAGGATTGGCAGGTCTCCACGGTGCATAGAAAAACAAGTTTTCCATATGCAATCTGTTTTCTCCCGTTTTACAGTATTACCAGTTTTGCTGTTGTGAGATAAGTAAAAATAGTTGTTGAGTGCTTTTTTTAACATCCTTTTCAAAATCTTTCAACATTTTGTTTGGCTATGTGTTCTGGGTTTTTTCACCCCTGCAAAATCCTGCTTATTATTTAGAGGCTATTTCTCTTTGTTTTATTCTGTTGTCAGAGCAAATTTGTACATAGCTGTTTTTTGTGGAATAAATGTGAAGGAAAGTAAGGATGAATTTTCAGAAGTTACTTCATTGCCACTTTGGGTAGTAGTTTTAGTTTCCCATTCACCTGGTCTGTGTCTTGAAGTCAAGTCAAGTCTTCATCCTTTGTGATTTTTACCTTCAAAATGAGTGTTGGCACCGTTTGGAAGGAGACGATAGGTCTTGGCAAGATGCTGTTTGTCAGTATAACTAAAAGGTTTTGTGAAAAGTATTTGCCTTATGGTCCTTATGGGACAGTATGTAGAATTGGTGTGATACTCTGCAACCAGCAGATTGTCAAGAAATAAAAATATTTACTTATATGTGATTTCTTATCTCAAAAAAAAATACTCTTTAAATCCCAGAAGATTTTGTTCATATGACTTAGGTTTTTTAAGTTTGTATCTTCTATGATGTCCAACAGAGCCCTTAATGGGGAAGTTAATGCCAGGTATAACATAATGTCAGTAGCATGACAATTTAGTCAAACCAGGCATAATACATGCATGTAAAAATTACAAGATTACAATATGTAGGTTTAATATATACTTGGAGACAGGCATAATCTGTAAGCATATAATAGATGTAAGCATTTCAAGTAGCAATAGTTTGGTAATAACAGTTCATTGAAAAGGCTGCCCTTCAAGGTCAATAGTCTTTTTATTTTGCTTTGATGCAGTAGCACTAGGGGTTTTTTTTTTTGAGACAAAGCCTCCCAGCAGACTATAAAAGAAAACAGAGGGAAGGATTAAGGTGTAGTAGGATGCTTTGTACACCTCTCAGCAACAATTCATGGAGTTTCCAAGTTAGGTAAAGGTGGCTTGAGTTACGGGGTATCCATCTCAGGTGACTCAGATTTCCACTGGGTTGACCATTAAGAGATTTTCTTTTTCCACTTTAACAATGCTGGTTAACTTTTTTGCAAGTTATTGTATCCTGTCAGTCATCTTGTCTTTGAATCTTGGGGTGATGAAGATGTGGGAGGCAACAGCTGAACTGCAAAGGGTACTTCATAATTGCCCTGAGTCAGACAGCTAAATCCGGCATTTCAGACTGGCAAGCAGTGTGCCAGGGAGAATAAATCCTTTTTTGCTATGTCCTCGATCCCTTTACCCACTTCTAATAATTTCATCAGCTAAAAACTAAGCAGAGCAGACTCTGAAATCTAATGAGTTGAGACCTGCTCAGGTGTATTTACTGGGAATAACTGATCATGCTGATTTAAGGAGAAGGGTAGTGGAGAATCTGTAACTAGATCTTTTATTCCTATTAGTTTTGATTGTGTGAAGTTACCGTGTAATTGCCCCATTTGTCTGAATGATCGTTTTTCCTCCTAGCGAGGTTGCTGTCATCATCTTGTTCAATAAAAGCCTGTGAAATATATGTACCAAAGACATGCCTATGGATGGTCAGTATAATGTGCACAGCAGATCACTAGAGCATGATGCTAGACTTAATGATCTCTTAACATTTTTATTGTAAAACTTAGATTCAGGAATACATCCATAGCTAAAATTGGTTTAGACTGGGATTTTATATTTAAGCTTTGTGATGGTAGGTTTCTTAAGGGTTTTGTTTTCTTTCAGTTTTTATGTGATAGGTTTAATAGTAAGGTTCAGATTGCCACATATTAGGCAATTTTTTACTTCGTTTTCACACTTGGAATTTACTTATATTTCCGATGACTATGATTGGCATAAAATTAAGCATTTATGTGACTGAATCTTGGACATTACGATAGGCTTATTTTTTCTGGATTCTAATTTTATTCTGAACAGGATGACTTTCACAGAAGAGCAGATTTTTGTAGGTTCTGTGTTGTATTTTCTTCTGTATGTATTTCAAAGTCTTTTGCAGGCTTAGGTTGATAGGATTACAGAAATACATATTACAAAAGAAGTACTGTAGGAAAAAGTTAGTATACAGTTAAGTTTACATACTTTGCTTTCTTCAATCTTAATTAAATTTGACACTCGGTGATAATAATTAAATTTACTGGTTCCCCTGACTAGCCATGAAGTATCTTGTGATGTTTATGAATGAACATGCGTTTGTTCCATACCAAAAGAAAGCTATCCAAATCCCCTCAACTGTCGTACACTATAATCATGAAGGTCCTGCATAAGTACCTATATCAGCTCTCCGGATGAAGGATTTTTGACATCCGTAAATATCTGGTTAGTTTTTCCAGTGTTCAGCTCTCTTGCACATGGATCCGTAATCAGCATTTTGCTGGAGGGGATGCTCCAATTCTGGTACGATGTTAGAGATTTCTGCATGATTGTTGTAATTAGGACAAAAGCACTTATGATTGAGCAGGGCTTTTACTGTTTCACCAGAGTCTTGTAAAGAAAATAATCTGGCCCCCCCCCCCCCCCCCAAAAAAAAAACCAAACCCCAAACAAAACACCAACCCTAGAATATACTTCTTGAATGGACATGGTTTAATCAAATTTATTTCCAGTGTATTTCCAGCCCACAGAACACAAATCAGAATTCAACATCCACATTTGTCTCTATGAACCAAACATCTTCCTCTTTCTTTTATTTGCTCTGTAGTGGAGTTGTCTCTAAAAAAGCCAAGTCTAATACAACTTGAATGCTATTTTCTAATACTGAAATAAAAAAATGAAGTAAAGCACAACTTCCGTCAGTGAAACCTTACAATTAATAATTGTCCCATCTGTTAGTAATGTTTTGCCTGGAGCCAACAGCTGTCCCTAGTTCTCAACTACACAAGAGATGTTCATGCATTGAAATCTTAGAGGGGTAGTGCTTTTATGAATTTTTGATGGATCATTTCGTTCCTACCAGTGCTTTATTCTTAACTCACTCAGCGCTATTAACCACATTTAATGACAGACATGGAATTTTCCAGAGAGGTTAAGTGAAATTACATGGAGGGCAATGGCTGGGTAGAGGTAAAAGGCCTGAATTCACCACCCCACTAGAAGGCAGCTGTAGTTTAAGGATAAAGGGTGCCTGGGCACTGGCAGGTATGCCTTGCCGGTAGCTAGCCCTAGGGAAGAGTTGGGGGGCAGCTTCTAGAGTGCGTGTGGGGGGAAATGGGAGGGACTGAGGGACAGGCAGGGCTGGGGGGCAGTGAGGGGGCTGGCGTGTGGAGGAAGGCTGCGGGATACCCAGGGCAGTGAGTTCTACTGTTTGCTGGGAAACTTTCTATTTTTATATATAAATAATTTTATAATGAGCATTAAAATTTGGCTTTTAACAAAAAAAAAATTAAAGTGTTTTAAATACACCTATAGTTTAGGTTTCTGTAGTTGATAGGAGATGGAGGGTGGATCTCAATGCAATGAAGACAGGTTTAAAGAAAAAAGACAAGAAAGCAAAACCTGATGATATGAGGCTGGATTCAGCAGCTGTAGGGGACTGAGTAGTCTGCTGGGGCTGATCAGTCTGAATGCTTGCTCTGAGAAGCAAGCTGGCTTCTCTCTCCTGAGGGATGTCTTCTCCAAATCACATGCCTCTACAAATACTGTCAGAACAGCAGCTATGTGGAAAATGAGAAATGACAATGCAGGTTAATAAATAAAAGCAAGTGAGTGCTTTGTACGTCCACCTGTGGTGGCATTTCCATCCCCTGCCTGCAACTCACCTGCCTCATTTTGTCCACAGAACCTGCAGTGGGCCCGCGACGTGCTGCTGGGCAGCGGGATCCCCTGGCAGCAGCTGAAGCACATGCCTGCACAGGGCCTCTTCTGTGAGAGGAACAAGACAAATTTCTTCAACGTAAGTTTATACAGCTGATAAACACACCAGTACTTTCTCAGCTGTCATTTTAACACCTGTTTGTCATTTGAAAGGTTTGCGAAGGGACAGTAATGTGAAATTCAGCAAAGGCACATTAAACAAGTCATGAGCAGCTAAAGGAAAGGCAGAATTGTATTACAGAGATATTTACTGGGATTCTACTCTCTTGAAGGGAGCCACATTAGAAGGATTATTTCTGATGAGCTTGAAAATGTTTCTCAGTTATGCATCATTTACCATTGATGTTTGAGCCCTCTATAAAAATTCTAATTCTGTTCATCTTAATTATCCCCTTGTTCACTGTTTCTCAACTAGACTTGTGCTTCTCATGACAAAAAATAGTGCTAGTTTCTCTAAGAAATCTCTGGAGTTGGAAGGAGCTTTATTGTATTCAGCTTTTGTAGCGTGGCTCAGCAG